TCTGGGCTGACAGCTCGGAGCCTGGAGCCTGCTTTGGATTCTGTGTCTCCCTCTTTCTCTGCCTCTCCCCTTCTCGTGCTCTGTTTCTGTCTCTCAAAAATGAATAAATGCTAATAAATAAATAAATAAATAAATAAATAAACAAAAGTGACCAGGAAGGCTTCCCTGGCAACGTGACCTTTGAGCTGCACCAATGGAAATAAGAGAGCCATGAAGGATCTGGGAGAAGAGCATTCCAGAGAGGAATACCAAAGGTAATGGTCCAGGGGAGATTTCCAGTAGGTAGAAGGCAAGAGAGCTGGGAGCGGAAAAAGAACAATGAGCTATTCACAACTGCCCAAAGGTGAAAGCAACCCAATGGCCATCAACCGTTGGCTGGCTGAATAAAATGTTGGATCTCCAAACAATGGGATGTTACTGAGTCCCTAAGAGGAAGAACAGACTGATTTGTGCTGCCGTAGGGACGAATCTTGAAAACACCCTTCAAGTGAAAGAAACCAGACACAAAAGGACAAACATTGTCGATGCCACTTAGATGTGATGCCTAGAATAAATAGTCAAAGTCACAGGGAGAGAAAACAGAATAGCAGTTGCCAGGGAATAAGAGGAGAGGGGAAAGGGAGTTATTCTGGGGGGATAAGAATGTTTTGGAACGAGGCAGACGTGATGGCTGCACGACACTGGGGATGTATTAAATGGCACTGAATGGTTCACTTTCAAACAGTTATGATTATGAGGGACGACTGGGCGGCTCAGTCGGTCGAGCCTCTGACTTCAGCTCAGGTCAGGTCATGAACTCACAGTTCATGTGAGTTCCCCGCATCGGGCTCTGCGCTGATGGCTCAGAGCCTGCTAGGGATTCTGTTTCTCCTTCTCTCTGCCCTTCCCCCATTTGTGTGTGCGCTCGCTCTCTCTCTCTCAAAATAAATAAATAAACTTAAAAAAATTGTTTTTCAGATGACCTTGGGTTTCTTAAACATAGTGTAGAAAACTAATGATTCTACCGCTCAACGAGCACTTTTCAGTGGTCGTCCTCCTTGACACTGTTGACCAGTCCCTTCTTTTTTTTTTTAATTTTTTTTTAACGTTTATTTATTTT